TTCCATTTCTCTTGAACAACAGGCTTCAGCAAAGATTGTTTGTCTATTTGAACTGCTAGTTTCTCACTACATGAGGCATGAACACCAGGATGAGTCTTAGAAGAAACAATCTGATTTTGAGAAGGGGGAAAAGGGTTAAAGAACAATCTTGTGTGATTCCCAGACTGATCAACAACGAGGAACCTTTTCAGACAAGTGTGAGAAGCATCAATTATGCTAGCACTAACCCCGAGTCCATGGGGTACAGCACATTGAGAATCTTTCGAATGTGGATGTATGGATGGAGATGAACTCTCCCAAAGAGGAGGTAGACCTTTGAAGAACCCATCAACTTCATTCAGTTGTACCGAGTTCAAATCAGGTAAACCAGAAACTGAACATGGTGAAAAATCCATGCCGACAGAAAATCTGGAAGAACGAGGAGGACACGGCGAACTATAGACTTGCCCTGACTGCGTTAGTGCCATGCAGTCCAAAGTGGGCAATGGAAAATTCCATGCAGAAAAGTGCTGACGAGTCTGTAACTCTCTGGATGTAACCATCCAGCCAAAACAACCTGTTGTACATAATTAGGATGAGAATGGTCATTCAGAAACTCTTGAAATGACTCGAGAAAATTTTGTACGAGAACCATCAGAATTTTATAACCCTACCAGGATAATGCTCGGGTTTCACCCGTAAATTAGTAACTTTCAGAAATGTTTAACAAGAGAGGGGGAAAATGCTGTAACACTATCTTGGTGTGATAACGGAAACTCAGGATCAATCTACGTAACAGGTTTTAACAACTGACGGAAATATTCGGCCTGGGAGCAGAAGAACAAGTCAAAAGTTAGCAGCCTTTCAATTAACATTAATTACTGAAACAAGTAACCAGCATATGAAAAACAGTTCATAGATTAAACAATCAAATTTATGACAATTAATATGGAACATCACAACCAAAACTATAAACCAAACTTTAACTAACCTGGCAAATCTGCAAAGGTTGAAAGCATGCTATAACTCTAACTATAATGGTTGTTCTCCCAGAAATCCCATTTTCATGTTTTAATGCCTTAAATCTCGTCTGGCTTGCTCCTTGGCACACCATAACTTCTTTTGAACCTTGAACAAACTTCAAATTCTATGGAAATGCAAATGAAAAGTACCACAAAAAGATAAAGATGGACTTGGGAAATAAGGTTGAGAAACAGAGGTGAAAATATGGGATCTTATCTATTTGACGAACGAGAAAATACGAACAAGTTGAACAAAATCAAAACTACGAAGGCTGTGAACTTGATCCAGAAAAGAAGATAATAGTTTGAATTATAGTAATTTGCAGGCTTAAATCTCAAGACTAAACTTAAAGAATATAGATAAAACAAACAAAGGAAGGAAGGTGACTGGATCCCATAGATAGCTAATTAATGGAACAATAGAAATAATGTTTAGGTTCAAAGCAGAAATAACAACTTATAGAATAACCCTGCAGTACAAATTCAAGGAGATAACGTAACTCAGCCACGGCATATTGTTCACTCCTATATCCAATTTGTAATTTTCACAGATTGATACCCTGAAATGAAAGAAAAGTATCAACTTTAACAGACTCAAAAAATAATAACTGAACAATTAAATTAAGTATAATCAAATACTCTAGTACAGAAAAATAAAAAGTTTCTCTGGTCCTAATTCACGATAGAATACCTGGATTATCCAACTCTCAAGTTATTTTTCCCTTTTCTTAATTACTAAAAGAGCAAGTGGATGGCTATCCAATATTCTTATTAATATCCACAAACAAGAAGAATCTTGTATTTTTCATTAAAACTTTTGTGCAAGAGAAAATTGTGCATTCAAATGAAATTTATCATAACTTCACAATCAGCTAAATGACACAGCAGAGCAGACAAACAAGAACACAAACCAAAATTTGACAAATACTGTGTATGTACACAAGAGATTTAATGGGTCGCTTCAATTTGTCAATTTGATCGTGATCTACTTCGAGATCTAAAGAATAGCAATCCAAGAAAAGCAAGAAAATAAATCCACTGAGAAACTAAAGTAATATCAAGAAATGAATAGAAACATTACAAAATAATAACAAAGGCTGAGAAAAGATGGAATTTTTTTTAAAACAACTTACAGATCTTTGATCGAAAAGTAGGATCTTGGAATATTTGAAGAGTTTTTTGGTACTGAGTTCTGTAGCAAAGATGATGAACAGTTGTTTGGATAACAGATGAGAGTGTGATGATTCACTAGAACCAGTCTATTTATAAGAATCTAATTACAATATTACCCTTCTTTCAATATAAATTTAGGTAGTGAGTTCAATGCTTCATTATAGCTAGACTAGTCCCTCTTGAAAAGTAGTGCCGATCGGCCCTGTCAGTGAGGCAAAATTAGTGATGGCCGGCTCGGCCCATTG